GGACTTTAGTCCTCCCTCCTCGAGCTCGAACCCGAACCCGACACCTCTAGTTAACTCTTTGGCAGGTAGAGTTACCCGATACCTTTGGTGTGGAAGGTAGCAGGTACTCGGTAGGATAGTTAAGAGTGTGTACAAGTTGACCTGGACACCATTGTCATTAAAAAAAAAGATAGATGAATTAGAATTTCGAATTAGTATTTAAATTCTACTGTATTCACCAAGTTGATGATCTCACAACATTTCAGAATGTTCAGATAATTTCTATCTGTACTTATAGAAAGAAAAAAAGAAGAAGATAATTTCTCTGTGATATTTTGTGGTTGACTAAGCTTTAACATTATTATAGTAAAATGCTACATTAATTTTCCTTTTCTTTTTCTTTTTAGACAGAACTAGAGTATCGTCTGTGTACAATATATGCGATACTTCTAACAAATTTCAGTTCATGTCTTCAATAATTTGAAGCTTTCACCCATGCTCTGCTGCCTTTAATTTTAAATGAAGCAGCATTCATTAGCAACCAAGGCATTACTAGTAGTTGATATGTGTGTGTGTGTGTGTATATAGGCTCTCATACTATGTATATTTCAAGTGGTCGTTAACATAGCTTACACATATCCTGATTAACAAGGAGATACTTTGGAGTTGCTTTTGATATAGAAACAAATCTTCTTTTCCGGGGGATTTGGTCGTAGTGTAATAGGATTTGTCTTAGTCAAGTGGTAATATAACATAGCTTATACTTGGTGGAAGATGTATTCTTTTAAATTAGGAAATGTAATTGTGATCCTTTGTTTTTGATCTCTGATACAGGGTAAATTTTCTTAAAGAGATGGATTTGTTAATCTGGAGTCCACCTTACCTTCAAGGTTTGTCTAATTATTATATTTTGATAAGTGGACTGCCTACTTATTTTAACCTTACTAGTTTTCAGGTTTGTTTGGTAGAAGCAGCATTGAAGTGGACAGACTGTTCCTTTTGGTTTAAGCACTAACTTATTTTTTTTTTCTTCAGATGAAAACAGTTATCCAACAAACAGCTTGGCCTTCAACTTCTATTTCAATCAAAAGCTCGGTAAGTTCATATTAATTAACTCTCGTATTTGTATATCTTCTTAACAAGTCTATTAGATCTTTTATTTTAATAAACCTGGTTTCCTTTCGATCAATGTGCATCTAACTGACTTCATTTTTTTCTATCGATTTGCGTCGACAGACATTATAGAGGAAAATGCCTTAAACGAGAAATGTTGTCTGCAAGTGCTGGAGATGCTCATTGCAAAAGCTGATGCAGAAATTGCTGAACTTAAAGATGATATAGTGATGCTACAGAGCCAACTAGCCTGCACTGATGAAAAATGGTCGGACATGTGCTTTGCTGCTTTAAATAAAAAGATTAATCACCTCGATAGTTTGATAACGACCTTGAAAAATAAAAATGTCCAAGCTTCTGGTGTTCACTTACTAACAAATAGAAAACCCCCAGAGAGAATTCATGAGATATTAGAGACACTGCTGAGAAATTTCTTTTCTCCACGAGACAAGCAGGTTTGGTCTCAGAACATTTACTTGTTCTTATCTAGTATTGACTTCGATGACTGTCTTTGTTGTTTTCCATGCAAGATTGCTTAATTGTTGTTGTTCTTAAGATAGATATACTTATTGGATGTACATGTGCATTGCTGTTTCGCCCGAAACTTTTGGAATTTAATGTGATTCTTAAAATTGAAAAACTAAAGAAGGAAAATAATGGCTCTTAAATGAAGACAATTGTGAATTTATATCTACAGTTATATAGCTAATAATCATTGAACTTACAGTTAAGGGATCGTTTGGTTCAGTGATGGGATATCCCGTGGGATTATCTATCCCACCTCCTATATGGGATAGCTAATACCATCATTTTGGTATACAGATTTATATTGGTATTAGCTAATACCAAAATCAAACATGGGATAACTATAATCCCAGATGTTATACCGGGATTAATATCCTTATCCCGGTAACCAGACGACCCCTAAGTAGTTGGTCGAGACTATACTCTTGAATTTCCACATGACTTTTATTTTGAAATCAACAGCCTGCAAACTCTAGTCTTGGAAGTTCAAAGCTAGCTGCATCAGGTCTTATAAAAGTTGAAGCAACGGACAACCATGATTTAAAGGATAATGAAACTGTAGAAATAAACGTGGGTGTCGCTGTCCAGGCCAATGTTACACTCCAGACGCCATCTGTGGTTCAAGAAAGAAATCATCAAGAAACAGTAAGTGCTTATAATCTCCCTTTGTTCCACTAAAAGATTGCAAAATGCAAGAAAATTTGAACCAAGGAAATAGTGTAACTTTGCGGGTTCTCCCAGTATGGAATTGAGGGTGCCATAAGTGTGCAGGATTTCAGCCATTAAGGATATACTACATAAGTTTATCAGATAAATATCTCTATGGTTACTTCTCATATTTTTGTGAGTCTATAACTAATATTTGAAGATCGTTCACTAGTACCTCTAAGGGCTTTTATTCTCATGGAAGTAGTATTTGTAATGAATGCGTTTCAGCTCCCCCGTTGCATCAAATTATCAATTTCCCATCTTAACTCGTCCAGTTCACTGCATTTTTATCTTTTCTCAAACTATGAACAGGATGCGCATACAATCTCCAAAGCTTCCAGTACTAAGGCTTTTGGCCATGCTAGTGACAATTCCACTATGAAGGATTTGAACAAGTTTGATATTCCTAGAAAGCTGATCAATGCAAGCAAAAGAGAATATCCTTCACATCTCAACAATGTACTTATAAATCTTCTGAGCATATTTGTTCATATAAGGTTACATACCGATCTAGATCATTCAACTAACCGGTTATGTTATCTACTCTCTTACAGAAGCAGTTTGCATCTGCTGTTTTAAAGAGTGTAAGCACGAAGTCTCTAAAAGACCAAGCTCAGTCTTGCGGAACAACAAAGAGGGAGATCAACATATCAGAAGATATAGTTGAGGAAGAATTGATGCCACAAAGTTCTAATGATGAAAGGGTAATCATAAATTCATCTCTAGAAGTCGAGGAAACAAGCAGTGGAAAAGGACCGAAGGTTGGGACATATCTTCCATTTGCTTTTGTGTGCTGTAACAGTATTCAAACAGACTAGGAGTCTTATTTTTCAAAGATGTACTGCCTGAATGTAGACTCTTATCTCAGCATTTAGCTTATATTAAAAAGAGGCCCTTCCCGGACCCGGCGTGAATGCGGGTTGCCCTGTGCACCGGGCTGCCCTTTTAAAAAGAGGAAAAGCCAGGGGCAATGTATATCTTAGAGAGGGAGCTACGGGCACAGTCTGTGGCTTTGGTACTTGTAGAGTCATTCGAGTCTGTGTATCTATTCATTCAACCATGAGACTCTTCATGTGTCAACCTAACGTGTTCTAAATCACAATACAACAACTAAAGATCTTCAAAGCAAGTTTTACAATTTAGGGGTTTCAAATCTCAGTTTAAGTGTGTCATTCTTGGCCTTCTCATTGTAGTTATAGGAAAGAAATTATGACCTCTCGAAATTTTTATCGAGTGCTTATTTAAGACTTTTCCATCTAAAAGGAGGACAATGTTGTTTGACAGCCTGCTGGATCAATTCTGAAGACCAGTCTAATTGCTGTAAAACAAGAACCCAAAGAATACAGAGATGAACAGACACAGAATGGAGGGAAGGCTGGTCAGACAAGAGAAAAACACACCTCAAGTCAATTGGTAATGGAAAAAAAGATGGGTGCAAAATCTTTTCTTGGATTAAAGGGAGAAGAAAGAAGCCAGTCACTGGAAAAAGTCAAAGGTAAAGTGCAAGAGAAGCGACCCCCGAAAAGTCAAGTACTCACCATACATAAATCTGACTCAAAGTTGTTCCTGAAACTAGAAGGTCAGAGGCTGAACTTCAAATGGAACTTACCTCCAGAAAAGACTAAAGAGCCATGTCTTGCCGAGGAACTAGGATTCAAGACACCTTCAGGTGTAAAACTCAAGAGGCAGTGGAAAATAGGAAGTACTCAGAAGAATAGAGGTGATGAGTCTGGAGACGAAACAATCAAGGAAAATATGTTACTACTCGGTGGAGCCAAAGGAACTGGTGATCTTCCAGAGATCAGTTCAACTTCTTTGACTCAATTGAAGAAGAGAAGGATAACGAGTTCTAGAGGACCAGTCCTCCAAGAGAATGAGAATTTGAGAGATTTTCAGAATAGGTTGGTAAAATCACACGATAGATCAAATCAAAGTCTTCAAGTCATTAAAGTTGAGAATGCCGAACCTCTTGCTTCCACAGCATTCATTGTTCCAACACCACACACAGCAGATCTAAAATATATGACACTCAATCAACTCAAGGCCGTGGCGAGGCAACTGAATCTGCGCGGCGTATATACTCTTTGCAAAGCTGAGCTGCAAGAAGTCCTTCACTTTAAGCTGCTAGCTAAAGGTCGGTCAACATAGAAGCGATCTCTAAATCCTCTTTTTGTTTGCATATTCTAAAATGAAACATAACAGAACTGTTTACAAGTTTTTTTGAGAAGAAAAGGAGCTCTCTATGGGAAAAAGGCGATACTAGCAAATGATGTTCATATAACCAACTGTACAGAAATGAAGTTTTGCTTATATAAAGAACAGATACATGAGAAAGAATATAGAAAAAGTTGATTCTAGGAATCATTATAGCCAAGTTCTTCCAGGAAGGCTTTACTATTTTTGTTGATAATTACCCTTCTTTTGGTACTGAAATGATCATTACCCTGGTAATCAAGAACCTTCCTTTGTAGAGCTAAGTTTCATTTGTTGCTTAGTTTGCTAATTGAGCCTGGCATTTTGCTGCTACTTTTCTCTGTAAATATATGCTCGGGCTGGTGCTGCTTCTTACTTTATAGAACTTGGCAACTATATGTAGTTCTGCAGAAACAGTATTGTAGTAATCAAACATTGATTTATAGTTAGGCGCAGATTTGTGACATCAGATAACTGTTATAGTTTCTTGAGCCGAGGGTCTTCCGGAAACAGCCTCTCTACCCTCTTAAGTTAGGGTAAGGTCTGTACACTCTACCCTCCCCATATCCCACTAATGAGATTACACTGAGTTTGTTTTTGTTGTTGTAGATAACTGTAATTGTTCTCCTTTATGAAAATGTTCAAAAATTAATGAGAAGAATTCAACCTTTTATACAAAATTTCCTGTGTTATTTTAATTAGAAGATGGCACAAGTATGGATGAGTGGAAAACAAAATAAAGTTTTTTGATCATTTTATTGACGAGATTTTCTATGAAAGTTGAGATGGAGTAAGTATATAGTTTTCTTAAAAGAGTGGTCCTTATATAATCCCCAAAAGAAAAGATTCTCACTCTTCCCATTCAAAAGAAACTCTCGTGTTTGGAACATATAACTTCAATATAGACAACGAGAAAAATGCACCTTTAAAAATAACCTGTCAGTGTGGAATTACTTCTATTAGATTTCTTGTTTAACTATAGTTCACGGATTAGGTTCACCTAACATAGTATAATTTTGATAAGCCATTTGAATTTACTAAATATTAGTAATAGAAATGAGCATAATTAAGTTAAGACTTGAGTCTTAATATCCACGGATGGTAAGAGATAGACAACTTAAAAGCTTCTCTTTTTTGGTTTTTAATTGAATATTGTTAATGGTGCAAACTAAGTCAATAATAAGTCTGCTTTCGCTTAAATACTAGGCTTTTGTCGCACCAGAGTTTGAATTCATGACGTGTGTCTAACCCACAACATGCATTGCATTCTTATCACTAGTCCAAAGCCCTGAGAGCTATTGGTTGGACGTTTTTGCAAAATTTGAAAAGATTTGCTAAAGTCTTCAAGTTTTTGAACATAAACGAAATCTAAACAGTTTGATATGGCACTGGAAAAAAAATTGATATAACATGAATTAAAAAAAAGCAATTAAAATAGAAGTTCAGACGTCCTCAAATGTTCGTATATGCATAAAAACATATTCCACAATTTTCACACTTAATTCTACCTTTTTTTCCTTCAAGCTCATGTACTAAAGAATCAACAGTTTAAAATAAATCCTTTGCTAGTATGCAAGACATGCAACTAAATTATGGAAGTAAAATAGCTAACATCCTGGAACATGTTTGGGACCAAGATCAAACTGTAGCTTTAGGAAGAACAACCTGCGATAAGGGAAAAAATCACGACACATTAGCACGATGACGAGTATAAGCTAGTTCAGCTTAAGATAATTTTCAAGCAAACGAGAACCTATTGATAGTATCATTGAACGTGGGATGCCTGGTGCACCGGGCTGCCCTTTATACGTGTGCAACTGTCTTGACAGTAGAAAAGACGGCAACTTGCACAAAGTCTATTTTCCAACTCTTCTTGGCTTTTTATGAATGTAGTGTCCGAGCTAACTTGCGCACATTTCGACTATTTCACCTGGTACCGATACAAACGTGGGTAATTCTGCCACCTAACATTCTTTTGTCTATTGGAATTGGAAACCTAGTCTCCCATAGTTTTCATCTCACTTTATCGACCGCTAGCCCACACCCCTTGGAACTTGAGTGCTCTAGTTTCCAACTTACTATCCAAATAATTGCTTGTTTTACAAGTTGTTTTGTGATTAACAAAAATGAAATCTAGCCCTTGTCCTGAGTCACATTAATAATAATTACAAATGTGCATTTTTTCATTACAGAGGGAGCATATACATGCAGTTACTCACTTTTTGACTTGCTGCTAGCAGCAAGGCAAAAGAATGTTGGAATATGCGACAGCCTCATCTAAAAACTTAAATTCTTAAAGAGAGTACATTTTAATTTACTTAATTAAGTTTTCAACACACCTCCGCACATGCGAGCCTAATTCTTTTTCATAGGTCAAGCACGTGGATATTCTTTTTTTTATAATGGATTGCGGTGAGACTTGAACTCCGGACCTACGTCTGTTCTAATACCATGTCGGAGTTGTGTGATCATCTCATCTAAAAGCTTAAGCTCTTAAAGAGAGTTCATTTTTATTTACTTAAATTACGTTTCAACAAAGATTATGTAATAACTTGTGGATATCACGTGTATATAACCTCCGGAAGCAACAACAACAACAACAATACCCAGTGATTTCCCTGGGGTCTGGGTAAGCACTATAGCAGTAAAAAGTTTTATACCTCACTTCGACGCCAACTTGCTAAGAGCCTCCTCTAGGTTTCGAACTAGATGTTTGATTTGATATTTGAGCTTTGCATTCTCTGAAGTTCGTTCTTCCTCCTGTTTATGTGCCTGATATAAATTTAAGAAAAAAAATCAATCTTTAATTTGCGCTAACGCCATTTTCCGAAAAGGATGAAGAAGTGAAATCCAAATCTCCACCTTTTCTTTTTCTGCTTTGAGCTCAGCTGTGACATCTTTCAGTTTTGACTGGAGTTCAACAACTGTTCTCTCTAATTCCTCAATTCTAGAATCTGAAGAACCACCAAAATGCACATAAGCATGAAAAAGCACCAGAGTGCTCCTCAGGTTTACACAGATGGGAAAACTTATGAATTAGAATCATTAACAATAGGAGATAGGATTGAAGGCTTCACCAACCTGTCTTACTAGCAACTGAAATTTCAAGTCTTGCCAATCGTTCCTTCATTCAAAGAAAGTGTCTTTAGTACCATCTGATGGTCGTAAAACGAGAAAAAGTTGCACACACACACACACATGTATATATAGTCAACCTCTCTCTAACAGTCTCGTTTGTTCCGATATTTTTTGGCTGCTATAATGAAGTGTTGTTACAAAAAATATATATTATAACATAACATATAAATCGGTTCCAAGAAAAACTTGACTTTTATAGTGAATGACTATTATATAGGGATGTTGTTATAGAGAGATTTGACTATATACTTAATCTATTAGGCGTTTTCTGTTAGTAGCATCCGTTAAGAATGTAAAAACCTAATTTAGGATAGAATCTCAATGGTTACCTATAGACTTGAGCCGTATAAGATGTGCAAATGATAGAGTTGGACTCTAAGAAAGGAAAGCAGGTCAAGAGGCCGTAAAATTTTAGATGATTGCAACGTGCGGGTATATATTGCACAACATATGTCCATATGTTCGTAAACTGTTGATGGAGCATAATTAGAATGTGTCCTAAATTCTTCGGGAAAAATCACCGGGATAACAGTGTTAGCTATTAGTTTAGGCAGTCCCTAGTGCATACCATGGAACAGTCAGTATAAGCCTTCAGGCAGTAACTTCAAATCCACTCTTCATTGGAAGAAGAACATAATGTATGAAATTGACTTTAAGATGCACAAAGGCCAAACGATCAGAGGCGTATCTAGGATTTTAATTCTACGGGTTCAATATCTAAAAGTTTTAGCATTGAACCCATTATACTTTTAAAGTTAGGGGTTCATATGTACTATTTATTATAATTTTAGTAATTTTTATACATAAATTTATGCTCCGATTTATTCTTTTGGATTTGCTGTCGACCTGCCCTTAACACTTGTTTAGATAAGGGCAAGTCTACATCGTCTGATTTTTCATTGCTTCTGTGGTTTCCCTCCTGTCTCCCCTTCCAGTTTTGTTCATTTTCTTCTTTTTGTGCAGCCGATTCGCTGTCTTTAAGCAGTCCTAAAGATATTTGTATTATAAGGATTCATCATGAATTGACAAATTTTACGGTGACTGCCAACCTACTACAACCTTTGTCCTTTATCCGAGCTCGGGACCGGCAGTACGAGCAAGCTCACACAGCCAAAGGGGGGGGAAAGCGCATTAAAACTAAAGTATAACAGCATAAGTTAAACTTCAGATAACAATGAATACAACTAAAGCAAAGACTTAAATAAGCTCAGAATGTAACAAAATTGAAAGAAAATTCAAAACCCAGAAATCATTGAATCCTATCAAAAGGAAAGCATAGAACTTTCACATTAATATCCATTAAAACATTAGATCCTACAGAAGGGAAAAAGCACAAAACTTGAACAAAAACAATACTGAACAAGAAATATAAATTATATTACGAAATTGATAAAAGAATGAGTTGAGATTAAAACCTCAGCCTCTGAAGCTCTCTGGTAAAAGGGTTTCAAGGTTTCTTCTAGATTGTTTGAATCCGCCATTCTCTGGTAAAAAATTAAGTGCCGTAGTAGAGGAAAACTTTGCAAATCAGCTTTCTCAGAAAACTTAAGCATTAGCCAATAGAATGTTGCCTTTAGTAAGAGGAATATTGTTTTACTTTTTCCTTTATTTTTTCTTTGCCTTTTTCTTTTGGCTTTACGGGTCGTTTGGTTACCTCATGGGATAGAGTTTGAGATTGTTTTTACGGAAAAGATCCAAATATGCCCTTGTACTATACGAAATTGAGTATATTTACCTTTCGTTAATACTTTAGCTCAAATATGTCATTACCGTCACATATTAGTTGGTCCATATATTCCCTTAGAGTTACATTATGGGTCAACTGTGTAACTCCAAGGGCATATATGGACCAACTATGTGACAGTAAAGACATATTTGAGCTAAAATATTAACGAATGGCAAATGTGCTCAATTTCATATAGTACAAGGGCATATTTGGACCTTTGACTTTGTTTTTATCTCATGTTTGATCATAGACGGACCTATGTACAGATAAGAAGTGTCATCGGGCCTGTTAACTCGGCAAAAATTCCAAATATATATGTGCATATATGTTGAAAACGGTTATATATTTTGCATGAAACCCTTAAGATCAAGAGTCTGATGTGCATTGGTTGAACAGTCCACTCATGTGCCCCGCCACCTTCAAATCTTGGGTCCGTCTCTTTATTTGATTATAGTTATTAGTTAATCTATATAATTTTTTTACCAAAATCTTGATATTACGATCCCACTTTACTAGTACCATTACTTTTTTTTTGTTGGTTCGAGATACTGTACAATTACTTACCATACTGTTTTTTAACATTTTCTTATTTTTACCATTTCAAAAAACGAGTTTAACTTATTTAAACAACGGTTTAAAAGGAAAATTAAGTTACACCTACTATCAAATTTTGAGACAGATGGAAAAAAGAAGTTTCACAAAACAAATGTATGAAAGAAGTATAAAAGTGTGTAAAATATTCTTTATAATGATGAGGTACATAACTTAAATTCAAAAAAGAAAGGAGAAACAAGATTCTCTTGGAGAGTTATATTTTTGCCTTCATTACAGTTTTAAGTGTACTAGTTTTAGTGTACGTGCGTTGCAGGTGTGAATCGTGTTAATTAATATAAAATATATACAAATTGTTGAAAAACATCAATGGAGGTTAGTTCATATGTCAAAATATAGTTGAATATTTTCTGAATAAATTTTAAATAATTAGTTCTATAGTATTTATAGTTATAAATATTATATTACATAAGACACAAATATGCAATGTTATTTTATCTCACCTAGCATTTTTTTACAAACTCTACGTTCATATGTCATTTTATAAGAAAACTATTGTTCATTCAAAGTTATTTAAAATTATAGATAAGCTAATTAATCTCTTTTTATGTGAAACATTGCCTAGATTCTTATTGATCTAAGAGCATGTTTGGCCAAGCTTTTAGTAGGCTAAAAGTAGTTTTTTTTTTTTTGTAAATTAAAGGTGTTTGGCTAAAATTGAGAAGTATTTTTGAGCACCAGTAGAAGTATTTTTCTGCTTTTGGGAATAAGCTGCAAAATTTAGCTTCTTCCAAAAACAGAAGTAGAAGAAAAAAAAATTCAAGATAAAAACATCATTATCAAAAAATTATATTTCTCAAATTATCCCTCATTAATTTGAATTTTTTCCTTTTCTTCTTTTGTTTCTACCATCCATGTCTTTATTTTTCTTATTTTCATTATTGTTCATTCTTCTTTGAAATAATATCTCTAATATTAATGGATCTCTTCTTTTATATAGGATTTATGGAGTGAATTTATAATACGCGTGTATCCTATCTAGGTAGATTATTTTTTTTTAAAAATAACTAATCATATTAAAATTATATTTAAAATTACTGATTTAAGTTAATAAAAATTAAAGTGTGAGTTCTTAAAATTGAGAAATATTAATCCTACAAATACCTAACTTATAAGGAAAAACTTTGTCTCAAAGAAGTGAAAAATACCAGGCAATATACAAATAATGAATAGGTTTAAAGAAATAAAAATATCATTTATCAAAAAGAGAGATATTTATCGAAATAATTTTATATTAGGTGTGTTGAGGGGGGAAGGGATGATAATTCCTATATATTTTTGATTTTTTAAATCTTAAAAAAAAAATTATGAAAATTTTCATCTCTAAATTCCCGATCAATAGTTTTCAATTTCTGTGAATATACTCATTTATATTTGCGACCTATTCAATTGATTTTGGTTTCTAAAAACAATTCTTTCATTTTGTTTTTAAAGAAATATCACCTTAAAATTATAATAGATAATCATTGAGTAGTTACTTAATTATATATGTTGTAATTGCTTTTATTGGAGAATAAAATGCTATTTGATTAGTAATTCTTACCAACTTAAGGTTCCCATACGATACAAACTTCTTGGAAAGTTGTTAATTTACCAATATTCAAGGAATTCCAACATTTTGCTAATATACCAAAACTTAGAGTAGCAATTTTAGCTAACTTTAAAATCTTAGATATTAGCTAGAATTAAAATGTCTTTTCAAGAATAAATTAAAATATTTATATTAATTATAATTACAATTTTGTCTGGCATGGACTATATGGTCAAATGTAAAAAGTTGATCAATTTTTTTGTGTAGGAATTTTGTGCGTTTAAAATAGTATAGTTATAGATAGATATGAAAAATAGATAAATATGGAAAGTTATTTGTTGATTAATTTATTTTTAAAAATATCTAACTGAATTGCTAAAGAATTAATTTGTTGTACATCTATAAATTTATAACTCCATTCAATGTTTATTTATTTATCCTCTTTTCTATATCTATATTTTTGAAAAATGGGGTCAAAATTATCACTCATGGATGTGCTTTCTCGATCTAATGGATTCCAGTTGACCTAAAACCTAAAATTTATTAATTCTTTTAGGGAAATAAAGGACTCCAAACCTAAAAGAAATTGAACGTGATGGATTTTATTTATTTTTAACAATAAAATAAAGCTTGAATTAACTTAATGAAAAGTAAAGAACAAATTGAATCAAAGAATATTGACCAAAGAAAAAGACTTAAGAATCCCATCTTCCTCCTTTTCCCTCTCACCATTTGAGTATTTGACTATCTATCTATCAAATTACCATGAAAATCACTTCAAAACTCTCTCTCACATCAAATAAAAAACCCCATTAAAACCCCAAAAGCTATAACCAAGCTAGCCTTCAAGCTAATAGCATTGCTAGTAGGAGCCATACAGAGGCGGACCCAAGATTCGGCAGTCAAGGGGGCAGCGTTACAATCAATATATATTTATCTGCTCATAAAGATTCGGCAGTCAAGGGGGCGCCTTTTTCTTGAAGAAATTAGAAAATATATATGGAGTTTTTTGCCGAAGTTTCTGGGTGCCGGTGACCCCTCTATCGACCATGTAGGTCCGCCTCTGGAGCCATAGCTGGAGAAGGTGCAGTTGCACCCATGAATCTCCTCATGTTTTTCTCAGATAAGGTCACTACTATCAGTTTCTGGCCTTGCTCACAATGCCATTTTGCTCCACTAATAAAATAGTAATCTCCTGAATGTGTTTGCTCTATCTTTGTATTCCCATCATTGTGCACTGCTATTGGACTTGAACTATTGCATGTCACATAATCCCTCTTGCTCACTTTCAAAACTGAATCTGCTTTTACATTATACTTCCACACAAGAGAATATTCTCCAATGAGGAAGCGAGATTTTTCAGCCCATCGATTGAGGGAATCTGATTCTGAAGATGGGATTTTCCAAGAATCAGTTTTTCCCCCTACCAAATGGTCTCTGGCTTCTGAGAAACTCAAGAGGAGGAAGAAGAAGAGAACAGCTACTAGTGAAGAAGAAAGCACATTTCTTGAAAAACAGCCATTTTGATGTGAATAAGCTCAAAAAAGTTTTCTTTGATTTTAAACAGATTCTTTGCTTGTATTTTGAAGAGAAGTGGAAGGAAGGAATGAGGTTAGAATTATATATATGTGAGGGAAATTTTTAATGTGATTTTCAGGTGCTATTTTTTTTATTACAAAAATATTTATATTATATAGTTCACATAAGAAGCAATTTAATACACAAAGTTTAGTTGATTTTAAAGTCTAAAATATTAAAATATACCTAAATGTCTATTCTTAAATATTAGAAAAATAATTAAAAAACTATTTTGTCTAGTGTGAAATCGATATTACGGAAGACAATCTAATTTATAATTTGTTTAAAACATGCAATTGGGCTGGTATTTATCAATTATACAATATAAGAAAAAATAATAATTAATTAATAAGACTTAGATCAGATGTCTAGCTAATTCCCTGTTATGAACCGTAATTGTCCAACCAACCTGTATAAAATTTATAAATTAAGTCAAATATGAAATCAGTTAATCCAAAATATGAAACAAAAATTATATGAAAATTAATAGAAGTTTGCAAGAAGTCAAATATAAAATCAACCCAGCCAAATCCATATTATGAAACAAAGAATTATATAAAAATTAACAGAGGTTTATAAGAAAAAGAGCACATAAATTCAATTACCTTATATTTTAAAGCAAAACCATTATCGAAAAGAAATGCCTACAAATACCACGTACAAATTAAAGATGGTGTATAATATAAATTGCTTTGGTATTATATTCAAAGTTCTAATAAAGTACGTGAATACAAAATTCAACTACTAATATAAATGTTACAAATATGTGAATGCAAAATTCAACTACTAATCCCTATTTTCAGGTATATATGCGGCCACACACCCCAAAATAAAATATTGTGTGGGGGGAGTGGGGTTGATAATCCCTATATGTTTTTATTTTTTAAATATTAAATTTTTTATTATGAAATATTTCTTTCTAGATTTCCCATCTATAGTTTTCAATTTCTATGAATATACTCATTATATATGCGGCATATTCAATTGATTTTGGTTTCTAAAATCAATTCTTCATTTTATTTTTAAAGAAATACCACCTTAATAAAATTTTAATAAGCAATCACTGAGTAGAAACTTAATTATATATGCAATAATTGATTTTATTGGAGAATAAATGATAATTGATAAGTAATTCTCACCAACTTAAGGTTCTCATACGATACAAACTTCCAGGAAAGTTGTTAATTTACCAAAATTCAAGGAATGCCAAGATTTTGCTAATATCAAAACTTAGAATAGCAATTTGTACCTGACTTAAAAGTCTTAGATATTAGCTAGCATTAAAATTCCTTTTCAAGAAAAAATTAAAATATTTAAATTAATTATAATTACAATTTTATCTGAAATGGGGTATATTGCCAAAGCGTAAAAAGTTGATCAATATTTTTTATAGGGATTTATACTTTAGTTTAGATAGGTATAAGAAATTGATAAATTTAGAAAGTTGTTTGTTGACTAATTTATTTATAAAAATATATAATTGAATTGCTAAAGAATTAATTTGTTGTACACCTATAAATTTATAAAGTCCATTCAATGTTTACTTATTTATCCTCCTTTCTATATCTATATTTTTGAAAAAATGGGGTCAAAATTATCACTCATGGACGTGCTCTCTCGATCTACGCAAGATAACGTACTATTTTTCATGGATTCCAGTTGATCCAACACCTAATATTTATTAATTTTTTAGGAAAATAAAAGACTCCTAAACCTAAAAGAAACTGACAGTGAGAGAAAATTTTAATGTGATTTTCATGTGTTATTTTTTTATTACAAATATGTTTATATTACATAGTTCAAATAAGAAAGAATTTAATAAACAAAGTTTAGTTGGTTTTAAAGTCCAAAATATTAAAATATAATTAGATGTCTATTCCTAATATTAGAGAAATAATTAAAGACTATTTTATCTGGTGTGAAATCAATATTACAGGAGACAATCTAATTTATAATTTGTTTAAAACAAGCTATTTGGCTGGCATTTATCAATTATACAACATAGGAAAAAATAATATTTAATTAATAAAACTTAGATCGGATGTCTAACTAATTTTCTGTTATGAACCGTATTTGTCCAAACAACATGTATAAAATTTATAAATAAGTCAGCTATGAAATTAGTTAAATCCAAAATATGAAACAAAAATTATATGAAAATTAACAGAAGCTTGTGAGATGTCAAATATAAAATAAGCCAAGCCAAATCCAAAATATGAAACAAAGAATTTTATAAAAATTAACAGAAGTTTGTAAGATAAAGAGCACATAAATTCAATTACCTTATATACTAGACCAAAACCATTATCCAAAAGAAAGCTTCTAGGTGATGGCTTACAACACACTAATCTTGTAATTGAAACACCGCATACAAATTAAAGACAAGTGTATAATACAAATTACTTTGGTATTATATTCAAAGTTCTAATAAAATACGTGAATACGAAATTCAACTACTAATATAAGGTTTACAAATACGTAAATACAAAATTCAACCACTAATACAAATAAGTACATGCAAAATTCAATTTTTAATACAATTTAAAGAAAGGGAACCTGAAACCCTTCATATGAATGCAAAATTCAGTATCAATACAAAGTTTATAAAATTGAACATCAAATTTAACTATTAATATAAATGCGTGTATGCGCAATTCAACTAATACAAAGCTTTTTGCTCAAAGTAAGAGAAACTGCTCCAACAAGAATTTTTTGAAGGATGAAAATTACTAAAAGAAGACTAAATATACTTGAAGTTGAACGAAAACCTTTCCTTGTGTGTAATGGATTTGAACGAAAATTTTTCCTAGTATGTAGTGTACAATTTTTTTCTAGATTGTTAATATTAGGGAAACAATTTATGAAAATAATTAGATGACTATTCCTTAATGGTAGAGAATTAATTAAATGACTATTTTTAAATATTAGAAAAATAATTAAATGATTATTTTGTTTCATGTAAATTTTATTTTTGAAGATTAAAAAAGGCGAACGACATTTCGCTAAGGACTCTCGTGCTTTTAATATAATATAGATTTTGTAACATAAGAAAAATTTGGCAACCATTATTTCATTTTGCTTCTTGAATGCTAGGTAAAATGAGTTTTCGGTCCATTCAAAATGTGAAGAAATTATTACTCATTTTTTATACCGAAAAGAAGCACTTTCATCTACAAAGACAACCCAATGTATTGAGACTGTTATGCACAGGGCTAGGGAAAAGACCAATACCGACCCGTTTTTACCATTGCACTAAGGATTCCCCAATTTCACTTATCAATCTAACATAAGATATAAAAAGAGTAGAATCAAAGAACACTATACATTAGGCAATGTCACAAGCCTTTTCATTCATGTTTTATTGTAGCAGTCAGCTGGTTTTTGTTTCCCATTATTATAGTGTAGAGGAGTCTTAGTGTAACTGGTAAAGTTGTTGTCATATGACCAGGAGGTCACGGGTTTGAGCCGCGAAAATAGACTCTTGCAGAAATATAGGGTAAGGCTGCATACAAAAGACCCTTGTGGTCCGGCCCTTCCCCGGACCCGCACATAGCGAGAGTTTAATGCACCGAGCTGCCCTTTATAGTATAGTTTGGTTAGCATACTTGCAACAGCTACAAATCAAAACATGTTATACACCTAAAGAACATATAGGCTTTAAATTCAAAATGAATCTCAAGAAAATAGGACCATGTATTGGTAAATTCATCAGTACAAATTGAGTATCAAATATATTTGTTTTCTTCACCACATATAACAATCCAATTTGAACCAGTCTATATACTTATTCATTGCTTAATTTCTAAGTTTTTTGTATGAACTATTGATCAAGGTTGTCCAAGAAGTGAAGGCCTGTAGAAAGCATGGCTTTGCGCAATCTCAATCCGATCACGTGGATCGTTCAAGTTTTCATCCCTCAGTGCCTGAAGAATAGCCATTGGCCCTTGTTCCCTGGAAGTACAAAAACCACATAGAGATGTTATCGGTGAAGAAGGGACGGTTGCTCATCGTTCTCGTATTCAAGTTTTACTAGCATGGTAGCAGTCCAATGTTTATCCACTTAATTATAAAAGTTTTAACTTATATACATTGCATGCGTAAAAGAATTTCTAAACTATCAGGTCATGTAAACGATAACTATAGGTAATTGCCCGTAACAAGTGGAATCAGGTTGGAGAACAAGGCAAACAACCTGATAAAACATGTTAAGTTACACAGTGTAAAAGCTCTTTATATTGGTAGTGTATATAAGTTTAACTATAATAATAATTCCTGCGCAGTTTTTTTTTNGTCTTACCTTTTTATGAGTATCTTGTACAAAGTCTTCAAGATGGGGCACAGCTCAACTGGGGCAACCGGCTTATTCTCTCCGGGATGTAACACATTCAAGCTTGACTGACTTAGAAGTTCATAGAATGCTCCGACAGCAGAAACTCCCTATACAAGAGGTAAAAGAACGCGACTGGTTGGAACCTTAGAAGTTCTTACAGCTAGAGACAGAGCTGAATATATTGATGCATTGGTATAAATGAAAAAGAGCAATTGCGTAGGAAACTTCAGGATCAAAACTCAGTGTCTAATCCAAACATCAAGTATCCATTTCCACTCTACAACTAGATTTAGAATTATGGCACTCATACATATTATTTTTTTCTTTCTTCCCATTTGTAAAAGAAAGAGAGACAAATGACTATAATCCATGCTTATCAAGTCTTATGCATGCCATATACTGTAGATAGTACGTTTCTAGAAACATACATAGGTTTTGTTAAGATTTTATTACCCATACACTTTTGATGTTGCGCGGACTCTCTAAAATGTTATCGCACCCGTGTCGGATATTCCAAAAATACATTACTTTTGAAGGATCCGACACACACACGGAAATCTTTGGAGAGTGCGAGCGACATAGTTGACAGCATATATGGTAATTTCTCAAAGAAGAAAGTCATTGCCAAAATCAAAGGCAAGTGTAAAGTTTCAGTCTCGTTGGCAATACTAATCTAGATCTCCTGAATTGATTGTCTGAAATAATCGTGGAATCTAGTTATATATCAATAAGAAGAAAGATCCTAAGCTAAAATCTCAAAGCCACAGTGTCTATTGGTAAGTGCTCAACACCATACATACGCAGATTGAGTCCGTTGTAAAAAAAAAAAAAAACTATTTTGTTAATAATGAGCACTCTATAAGAAGGTAGTATGTCTTCCACACTGAGCTAAGGTCCACACGTTAAATTTGACATTAAAGATGAGAGGCAGTAAAAAAATGCAAACCTGGATTGTTCCTTTGCCACTAATGCTATCACCCATATCGAGACTCAGTTCTCCCTTAGCTATCATTTGACCATACCAAGCATTACGACCTTTCAACAATGTAACATATGTATCAGCTAGCAAAGGCCCTGCAAGCCTTTCTGGTTCTTCGGTCAACAAATACGTGATGAATATCATCTCCGATGTACAATGTGCAAAATATACTGATTTGCTCGTAGCACTCTCATTTGTTAGTGCAGCTACCATCCCTGGAATCAAA